GAATATCAGATTGATGTGCATCAAAAGCTGAATATTTACACAAAATGAGTACATTTCCCGTAATCTATAAGATTATGTTAAATTCGACACCATATAGACGGACGTGCAAAGAGATTCATAGTTGAGGAGTTGATTGTAATTACCCAAATATGAGATTTTTTTGTATTTTGATCTTAAGTTGGGAGTGACAGTAATTTGTCCATATATATAACCTATGAATTGAAGTCATATATGGTAAGTATATCAAAATGAGATGTAACCTATGAATTGGAGTCAAGTTTGACAACATGATTATAGTTTTGGTACAAATGTTGTCAAATTCGAAAAATAGGGCAACGCGATGATTTTGATAAATGTGCTTTGTTACATTTACTTAGTAATTTGCTCTTTTACACACAAAAACTACACAAATTTATTTTCCCCAAATGCTCTTATCTCTCCTTTGGGAATCAACTTATACAGATGCAATAGATAATATTTATGATAGTTTGACTAATAAGAACAAAATTGAAAAAAATATAAAAAAATTGGTGTACGCAAAAGCTTATTTTAAAGTAGAAATAAGTAATTCTGAGTTAAGTTATTTTTAAGTGCTTATTTCTACAAATTGGAGGTGCTTGCAAGTACGATGAAAAATTAACTAAAACCAAAAAACAGGTCTACGGTACTTTTAAAGCTGTTTATTTTAGGAGAAGTAAAAAGAAAAGGCTGATTTTGCAAATACGATATTTTTTTTCCTTTCTAAAACAATCGATTAGTTAAAATGGAATTACAAACATTTTAGCCAACAAAACTATAAAATTTAATCTCACATATCAATATCAATACAATAATTAGTATAAAATTCAATAAAAAAATATAGATTGCTTACAAAATAGATCAAAAATTAAATAGATAAATAAATAAAATTGGATAATTGTGGACAATGTATCAGTTAGTGCAAAAATATAGTAAAAGTCAAAAAAACACAAGAAAAATATCCATGGGCTTACTAAAAATATCCTTTTAAGTAAATTTAGTAAAACAATTAGTTCCTAATTAAATAACCACCTCATTTTATTACAATACTACAGTGGGCAAATTACAAGGATCCCCCCTACTATAAAGCCTAATTACAAAAATATCCTCCTTGTTAGCATAACTACCAGCACCACCCTCCTTATTTTATTACACTATACTATATATATATATATATATATATATATATATATATATATATATATATATAAACAGAATAAAATAATGTTATTTTAAAAGAAATAAAGGTACTAATACATAACAACCAATCCTAAGTTGAGAAGCAAAAGGTAAAAAACAGACATTCAATAAATACAATCGAAAAAGAAATAGTTTTTGGTCTAAGTTTTGCAAGAATTGCAGAACAGAACTATTATATTATTGTATCCAAATAAAGTGATGGGGGTGGGGGTGGGGGGGGGGGGGGGGTGGGGTTTTCCCCCCCTAAAAAAATTGTTATTGGAAAAAGGGGG